GGAATCGCACCAGCCTCTGGTGCGGTCACGCTCCCTCAATAGGAGGACGGAATGGAATCGAGGCCTGGTGTCAACCCCACGACCTCTCCACTTGAACCACAGTTACCATGGACACTGCACTCCTATAAATAAAACAGTTGTTCCGAATATTCCTCCCTCCCGCACTCCCACTCCTCTCCCCCCCCCCCCCCCCCCGCCCCTCTCCTCCTTGCACAATTTGGCGTGTGGCTCACATTATCACTAAAACACTAGTTTCTGTGGGGTTTTTTTTCTTGATAGTTTTCTGATGAATCATGTGTGTGTCTGAGGGTGGGGCGGGGGTGGGGGGTGCATTCCTGTTCCTCAGAGAGAGAGAGAGAGAGAGAGAGAGTGAGTTGGATTTCTTTTTGGGAAGGGTGGGTGTGCAGGGAAAGGAAGCGGGAGTTACAATCGAAGCAGCACCTCGATTGCCTGTGTGCTGTCGAAAATGAAGGTTTCTTCCCTTCCCTCTTTCCCTCCCTCCCTCCCTCCCTCCCTCCCCACCGCTCTGCCCTGGTGAGAAAATACGTGACAGCCCTTTCCAGCTAATACAGCATTTACGGGCCGAATTATCAAGGGGCTTTGTCAAACTGTGAGAAGCTGTCAGCGCAGCCATCGCCCTTCTGCCATGAGTCAAGTTAATGATGTGTCTGACATGCAGGGTGGGTATGGCCTAAAAAGCCCATTTCTGCAACTGGGTCACGTGTTTCTCTCTCTCTCTCTCTCTCTCTGTGTCTCTCGCTCGCTCTCTTTGGTGGCGGTGGGGGGAAGAGGATCAATGGTCCTTTTCTCATATGTTTTAATTGTTCCAGTGCCTGACTGCTTGGCTTCAAAGGAACTTAATGATCGCCCTTGTCAGCCAGGCTTTCAGGCGTCATTGATCTGCATACAACAGCTCCTTTCTCTTCACTCCCTCTCCACCCCCCCCCCCCCTACCCCCAACCCACACCCCTACCCCCATTGCAAAAAGAAAGACAAAAAGAGAGAGAGGGGCAGAAAGATTAGATCAGTAATACTGTCCTCAACATAACCATTCAAGCCGTCCCCGCCAGGCTGACTGACCCATTGTTTTTCCCTTATTAAATGCCGCTCATACTCACAGATACCAGTGGGAGGGGGTGGGGGCAATTTAGACACGCGATTGTCAGTGACGGAAACGGGTTTTTCTCATGTTTATCGTAACACGTGATTGCCATATTATGTCCACGCATCCTTCGGCCCTTTTCCCAGAAAGAACACGTAACAACATACTGTTCCATCAGATAGAAAATCTCTTTGTGCCCAGTTCACAAGCACATGAGATGGTTGCTCGTGTGTGTGAGCGTAGGGTGTTGTGTAAGAGGACATGAACTCAGGCTCCAGCCACTCATCCTCTCTCTCTCTGTCTCTCTCTTTCTTGACTCATTCTGCTGCATACTGTAAATGTAAAGAAACCTGACTAAGGTGTTGTCCTGCCCAGGAATCGAACCCGGGGTCTTCACGCTGTCGAGGCGAGTGCTCTAACCACTACGCTACGGGACTCCGTAAGAGACTGTGAGCTCAGCATCCCCTCTGAGATGGACCTGGGTTCCAGCAACTCTCTCTTGAGACTCATTCTGCCACATACCGTACTTGGAATGTCATATATAAGGGGGGGGGAGAACTTATTGCAACCCAACTGGTGTCTCAGTCAAGCTTGAGGTTACAGCTTGAAAGTAACCGCACCGTACATTCAAAACGCCCTTCATAAGTAACGTATTATATACGTCCTGCTTACTTTATCAATCTTTCAAACGTGCACTGGGTGCGGTGTATGTGTGTGTGTGTTTGAACCCGACACCGCACGCTGTGTTCTGTGTCAGTCGGATCAAAGGGAGCACCGTTGATGAGCTGTCAGTCAGAGGCCTTCAAAGCCATTCCCGTTGCAAGATTTATTGACCAGTGTTTGAGTTCTCTTGTTTTCAGTGGCTGTTTGGTCCCAGGTGTGCCAAAGGTTTGCTTCCAGCTGTGAGGTTTGGGATTTCGCCACGTTGTGTGTTGGGGCGGGGTGGGGTAGAGGCTGACAGAGCTCTGTCTTACCTGGGTCAGTGCTCGGGTCACCTTAACCTAAGTAGGCACAGATGAGACCTCGGTTTAATGTCTCATCCGAAGGACGGTGCCTCCCACATAATAGTCCTCGCATTTGATATTCCGTCTTATCACATCATCGAGATGTCTCAAAGCGCTTCTCAGAAAATGCTGTAAAATGGATTAGCTGCGTATTTTGTGCATAAAACGCAGCAGCCGATTGCACACAGCAACATCTCACCAACAGTCGTGGATTGAATGACCAAATGTGTTTTTTTTAAGGGATTATTACCCAAGGAAAATGATTCGTCAATGGACTAACAACTGGGTTCCTACTTACTGTAAGGTTAACAGAGGCGTGTGTCGTAAGGAAACTCGGCAAAGGTTTCGGCTGCCCGGGAATCAAACTCCGATCCTCTCGCTTGCGAGGTGAGCGCGCTAACCAGTATGGCACAGGACTCGAGAATGCAGGCCCCCCCCATACACACACAACACTGTTTGGGGATAAGCTGAATGCAGACAGTGGAGATAGTTGGAGATAGCTGATGTTCACATTTACATTCACATTCTGCTCTGTGAAAGGTTCCCACTTTACAACGAATAACAACAATTACAAAATAACAAAAATACAGCAAATGCAGCAACCTGCATTTATACAGCGGGATAGCGCCTCTGATCGGCGTTAAATAACTCACGTCACTTAAAAAAATTCCCATTTACTGAGGAACAATGCAAAAATAATACAAAAACACAAAGTACAGATCCAAACCAACCTGCTTGAAATGTTCAGTATAAAATGTCAAGTGGAAACACAATATTGCAGTGAAGTAATCCATTAGAAGTGCCAAATGCCATTACATTATCGTCAATTAAAAAAAGCCTGAGAAAAGACTTCAGGATGGAGCTTTGGGGTACACCACAAGTGAGCGTGCAGGGGTGGGAGAGAAAAATGTTAACGGAGATGAAGACGGCGCTTGATTAAGTAGGACTCAAACCATGCGAGTGCGGTCCCACTAAGGTGGATAAGGGAGGAGGAGGATAGTGTGGTTGACTGTGTAGAACATGACAGAAAGGCCCAAGAGGATGAGGAGGCAGAGGGAGCCCTGGTCACATAGAGAGAGGATGTCATTTGTGACCTCGATGAGTGCTGTCTCTGTGCTGTGGTCAGGGCTGAAACCGGACTGTAGGGGCTTGAGTACGGAGCGGGGGGAGAGGTGTGAGCGAAGTTGATTTGTAACAACGCGTTCCAGAGCTTTGGCCATGTTGGAAATGGCCCGGGAGTTCGTCAGCTTGGAGGGATCGAGGGTGAGTATTTTGAGGAGGGGAGTAACGATAGTGGTTTTGAGACGGGGGAGGGATGGAGACTAAGGAGAGGGATTGATTGACTGGCTGTCAGCCAGCAGAGGGAGTTAAGTGACCATCAGTTGGGTGGGGAGGGAGGGGCGGTGGGAGGTCAAGGGAGCAGTTCATGGGCTTCATTTGGGTGATGATAGTTGAGAAGGAGGAAGGAGAGGTGGGAACAAAGGAGTGTGTCCAAACTAAAAGTGAGTATTTTGTGTACTTTAGTTTCATGGGCTGAGACCAGACCAGGCGGAATTTCAGGCACAAGGAGAGGGGTGGGGGTGGGGTGATATTGTGTGTGGTGTGTGTGTGTGTCGTGCCGAGTGGGAGCAGCCTTAAAAAAACAGGTGTTCGACCTTCCTATACAGTCAACAGTGACAAGTCCGTGAAGCGAGTGAATGATGAAGGACACAGCATCAAGCAGTCAAGCCTTGAAACACCGTAAAGGGTGTCCACAAAGTCCTGCAACCCCCATGNTTTTTTCTCTCTCCAGCACACAACTGAAGAATGATGATAAATTATATTTAGAAGTGCTTAATTGTATTCAGTGCAAGTGTTTGACTCTATTTAGACGTCCAGAGGAATCGGTGCGAGTGTGTGAGCGCCATCATTATCATGGCAGATAACGTTTCGTCACCATGTTCAGTGCGACATCTTCTGTAACATGGATGAAGTTACGAGAAGAAAGACATCTCTGACAGTTTGTTTCAGCTCTTCTGTAGTCTCATATCGCTGTTTTGTAACGGGGTGGGGGGGCAACAGGACTTTGTGGACATCCTGTAGGTAGTGTTTTTTTTTGCAAAGCTCTTTCACTTAAGTTCGGAGTAGCTGGCATTTTCTTTTACAGCTTAATACTCTTCCAGCATTTGTAACTTTACCCCTGAATACATTCGGAAGGTCTGAAAATGTCAACTCGTCTTCATAACCGCGGGAAACTCCTTTGTGTTGACATGAAAGAAATATGGAAAAAAATTGCTCAAATTCGCTCTTAATTTGGAAGCCTTTTTTTGGCAAAGAACGACGGGGGAAGGGGGGCGAGGGGAGGGGGAAGCGGCTTGCAAATTCACATGATTTTTGTGTCAGAACTATACAACAAAATAATAATATTCCTTGCATTTGATATAGCGCCTTATCACATCTTCGAGCCGTCTCAAAGCGTGTCCCACAAACAGTCGTAGATTAATTGACCAAAATATTATATTTTTTAACTTTTTTTGAGGGGTTATTACCCCGGAAAAGTGAACCTCCAATCCACTAACAACAGGGTTCCTACTTACTGCTAGGTAAACAAGAGGTGCGTGGAGTAAGGAAGCTTGCCCAACATTTCTTTTCATCTGAACGTCTAGGTAAACAGTGGATTGGTGGATCACTTTCCAGGGTAATAATCCTTCGATAATAAATAAATAATAATTTGGTCACTCGATCCATGACTTGTTTGTGGGACACCGCTGTGCGCAATTGGCTGCCACGTTTCGCCCACAAACTATACAGTCAATTCCCTTGACAGTATATTCTGTGAAGCGCTTTGAGACGTCTCGAAGACGTGATAAGGCGCTGTATCAAATGCAAGGATTATTATTGTTATTATTATCCATAAGTCCCGTTCTCAGAGTTTATATTTTTCTGCAAGTTTGACATAACTCATACTCCGCATAAGTCATATTCAATGTACGGTCCTGTCTGATATGACTTTTGTGAGGTTTACTGAATATATATGTGTATATTTTTGGCATGTGTGACTGTGAAAAGGCAGTGTGAAGCAGAGACACGGTGTGGAGTTTGGTGTTTACAGTCTGTGAGACCTGTACACGGGCGGGGCGTTGGCTCCCGCAGCGATCGCGAGCGATGGTGGTGACACGGTGAGCATCCCTCTGGCGATCGTAGCCGACCCGTTGCCGTCACCCGTGGCGTTGTCTTGTAAACGGTTAAAGTTCCTCAAAAGTTCCGCCACTTTTCCTCGCTGCACGGGCCTGGGTGCCTGGTGTCTGCGCTCTTCTGTCACTCTCTCGACCACAGATTGTCTCTGTTCGCTGTCCTCCAGAGAATCGCTGCCTAGAAAATAAAATACACCCATTATTGATGAATTTTGTGGAGTCCCGTAGCGTAGTGGTTAGCACGTGAGAGGATCCGGGTTCAATTCCCGAACGGGACAAAACCTTAGGCAAGTTTCCTCACTCCCCGCTACCTGGTAATAAGTAGGAACTCGCTTCAATTGGCGGATCGCTTTCTGGGGGGTAAATAATCTCACAAAAAAAACATTCATCACTCAATCCATGACTGGGACACTGCTGTGCGCAACTGCATGTCATGTTTCGCCCACAGAATACAGTCAATACACTTTCGGTATGTCCTATGAAGAACTTTGAGATGTATCAATGATGTGATAAGGCGCTATATCGAATGCAAGAATTATTATTATTATATGTATAAAATAATAATCCTTGCAATTTCCGTCCTTCAGATGAGATGTTAAACCAAGACTCTGTCTATCAAGCTCAGGTTAGCGTTGAAGATCCAATGTACTATTCAAAAAGACTAGGAAGTTTCTCTCGCTCCCAGTGTTCTGGCTGACAATTCCACAGATAAAATTGGTCATTCGCTGTTCGTGGCTGTTTGTAGGACGTTGCTGTGTACAATTTCGCTGCCCAATTTGCCTATACATAGTCACTCGACTGTAAATAATAATAATAATCCTTGCATTTGATAGAATGCCTTATCACGTCAATGGGACATCTCAAAGCGCTTCACAGGATATACTGTAGAGTAGATTGGCTGTGTATTTTGTGGTTGAAACAGAGCAGCCAATTGCGCACAGCAGTGTCCCATAAACAGTCATGCATTGAGCAACCAAATTCTGTGAAGCTCTTTGGAACATCCTCCCGACGAGCGTGTTTTGTTGACGGACACGGTTGCCAAACTGCAAGGCAAATAAATGCAAGTTCTTATTAACATTAATTACTGCCTGTAAGGAGTCTGTGTGTGTGAACACCCAGCACTCGTTTACAATTTAAGAACATAAGAAATGCTGAACGAAAAAAGACCAAGGTCCATCTTGTTCACCTTCCAGGCAGTCACTTGCACATATGTACCGAACTACCTATGCACTATATCCCACAATGTTATTTCCTAAAAGAAAACTAATCTGTGCATGAAAGAATCAACATTTCCTGCTTCAACGGTATCCCTAGGGAGCTTGTTCCACAGGTTCACTATTCACTCACTGAGATAGTGTTTGCCTAGATTCGTTCTGAATTTACCCCCTTTCAATCGCAAATTATTGATTATTCTTAATAAACCTCATATATGATAGCTTTCCATATCCAGCAAATGTATCCTCTTTTTACCCACACCTCCACCCCTCCTCATTTTCCCCCTCCCATTAGCAGAAAATCCTAGTGTTTATTTCTGCTGGAAAATAATAGGAAAAGTCGAACAGATTATTCCTGTGTGTCAAGTTGCCGCCCACACCTCTGCAGCCACCTCACAATGCCCCGAGGCATCATTCAGCTTGGCTATTTTTAGGCTATTTTTAGGTGCAAGGAGAGACGCAAATAATTATCCCTGAGCCGTGTTCCCGTGGTTTGAGCCTGCGTGCTGCAAATCAAGGTGCATCGAGAGGGGACGTGGGGGTGGGGGGTGGGGGTGGCGCTGGGCTTTTTGGAACCCCTCCTGCCCACTTCTTGCCCCTCTTTATCAGTCTTCAAATCCGAGCTTTGGTCAGCAATCCACTTCCCCTCCCAGCACCCCCCCACCACACTCATCCTCCGCGCCCCCCATCCCTTTCAAGCGCTCAGAGGTGCTCTCCTACGCTGTGTGAATGCAAGTTGTTGCTGTTGCTGTGTTTCTTCACAGCGCATGGGTGCCTGACCTCCACAATGGTAAGAAGTCACTGAGAGTCCCATACAATAATCAAATACATATTTGGTGCGAAATACGATATTTACACTCTCCATGAAATGAGGATGAGTCACAATTGAACAGGCACTTGGCTCTGTTCACTGGTGGGGTGAGAGGTGGGGAGAGCTCAGCAAAATACTGAGTAGGAGTTTCCCTTCTGTGACGCAAGCACTCGAAGAGACACAGGATAGGTCTGGTGATTTCGCTCACAGATAATATTTTATGCATTTGAAACAAATAGAGAGAGGAAATGATGATCAGACCGGGCGATTTACAGATAAGGACTGTGACCTGTGACAGAGCCACATTTTATTGCAGTGCTAACCACAGCAATTCAGTCTGTCAAACAGCAATGAAAACAGGATTTAGGGCTGAATTTATTGTTTGGATTGAAAAACCGGTTTCAGTGTGGATAGGAAAAGGACCTTATAATAATAATAATAATAATAAATAATCCTTGCATTTGATATAGTGCCTTACCACATCATGGGCACTGCAGGAACCGAACCCAAGGATAATTATTTGCGTTTCTCTTTGCATCTAAAAAATCTGGGGGCGAAGGAAAAATTCTGGGGGTACCTTGTCCCTCACACCCTCCGCTCCACCATTGGATATTGCAGCCACTATGCCCCCGAAACCTTGGAACACTCTCCCTCAAGAGTCACCTCCCCAACCCACCCCACCCCACCGGCTTGGAGCGCCCTGAAACACCGTCCGGCGTGGAGGGCGCTATATAAATACAAGTTGTTGCTGTTGCTGTTGTATAAGATTCTTGGTGTGGCTGGGAAAACCCATCACCGTGCATCTGAACTATGGGAGTTTCTACACTTGCACAGGATTCTAAATGAGATTGAGGAAAAGCCCAAGGGCAGAGGACACGGGTTTAGAGTTGCAAAGGGGCAGCTGCATACAGACTTCAGGGATATTTCTTTACCCAGATGGTAAACAATCCGAGACGCTACCTTGCTCTATAAATGCAAGTTGTTGTTGTAATTAACGGGGATGCCGAGAAGGGTGGTCGAGGCCAGGACGCTGGGATTCGATGCTGTTTAAAATGAGGTTCGATGCTGTGATGGTGGGACTGGTAGGGTACTGGAGGTGGGAGGGTGGTTCTGGAGGGATGAGATCAGATGGCCTTCTTCATCCCAAACCGATCTTGCAATTTTCGGAAGATATGTTAAAGCAGCAAAACTGTAACTAATTATTTCCTCCTAATATTGTTTTGTAACGAGAGAGTTCAAATAAACAAGATTCACATTGTTTCTGCCAAAAGAGGGTAAAAACATTCCAAAGGCTTATGCCGGGCAGGGTGAATAAACACAGCAACAACAACAACACTTGCATTTAGACAGTGTAGCAGAACGTCGCTGAGCGCTTGGCAGTGATGGGGGTCGTAGGATGAGCGGGGTTTGGGGCGGGCGGTGGGGGGGTAAGTGGGATGATGATCAAAGCTAGGAATTGAAGACTGATAAAGCGGGGCAAACTTTAGGCAAGTTTCCTTACTCCACACGCCTCTGTTGACTAAGCAGTAATTAGAAATCCGACTGTTTAATCGATTGGAGGAATGCTTTCCGGAGGGTAATAATAATAATAATAATCCTTGCATTTGATATAGCGCTTTTCACGTCGGGAGGACGTCCCAAAGCGCTTCACAGAACACACTGTAAAGTGAATTGACTGTATAATCCCTCCAAAAAAAGAATTTGGTCAGTCGAACCACGACTGTTTGTAGGACACTGTTGTGCGCAAATGGCTGTCATGTTTCGCCACAGAATATACAGTCAATTCACTTTACAACATATCCTGTGAAGGGCTTTGAGATGTCCTACTGACGTGATAAGTCGCTGTATCAAATTCAAGGATTATTATTATTAGGAGTGTCGGAAAGGAACCAGGTTATAAATAATAATAACAACAACAACAACAAGATTCCATTTATAGAGCGCTTTTCACGTCGGGAGGACGTCCCAAGGCGCTGTACAGTTGGGTCAGGACCCGAGCAGGGGGGAAATGGTCAGGGTGAGGGGAGGGAAGGGAGGGAGGGAGCGAGGAGGGGGTAGAGAGTCGAAGAGCTCAAGGCACGGTCGAATAGAGAGGTCTTGAGACCGGCCTTGAAGGAGGAAAGGGAGGAGGCGGCGAAGGCACTGGGGGATGGAGTTCCAGAGCCTCGGGGCTGAGAGGCTGAAGGTCCGGCCACCAATGGTAGGGCGGTTGGGGCGGGGGATGTGGAGCAGACCGGAGCCAGAGGAACGGAGGGTACGGGCAGGTAGGTAGGGGGATAGAAGGTCAGAGAGGTAGGAGGGAGCAAGGCCGTGAATGGCCTTGTAGGTGAGGATGAGGATCTTGAAATCAATCCTCTGGGGGATGGGGAGCAGTGGAGGCGAGCGAGGGTGGGAGTGATGTGGTCGCGAAGCCTGGTGCGGGACAGTACACGAGCTGCAGAGTTCTGAATGATCTGCAGTGTGGAGGGAGGGCCGGGAAGGCCGGAGAGGAGAGAGTTCCCATAGTCCAGCCTTGAGGTGATAAAGGCGTGGACCAGAGTTTCAGCAGCGTGAGGGGTGAGGTAGTGATAATAATCCTTACATTTGATGCAGCACCTTTCACATCAGGAGCGCTTCGCAGCATTTTACGGCAAAGTGTAGTGATCGTGTATTTTGTACGCGAGCAAGTCAATGCCTGGTTGAGTTTTTTTTTGAATAAATACAACATATTCCTTAATTAGTCCTCGACGTATATGATATTTGGGGATCAACTGTCTCTCTTTCCCTGGCTCGTTCTGTTCCACACCCTCCACACCCAACAAAAAACAAAATTACTTTCTTTCATGGTAAATTTGTAAGAGGGTGGAAATGTCCCCTGCTCTGCGGAATTTCAATGAGCGAACGAACACCCCCCGCTATGTATGCACTGGTATTTTCAACAGCTCACAGCCAAACATCAGCGTCGCGTCAATTCCAGAGCCGTCCATTCCATTCCTGGCACGAGCTGTGCTGACTGTGATCGGAAACAGACCTTACTGAGCCATCCATCACCTCTGCTGCACATTCTGAACAGTGATCTTGGTTGCTATATTGGTCTCTCTTTCTCTCTCTCTCTCTCTCTCCTCTCCAATCTATATTGCTCTCTCTCTCTCCCCTCTCGCTCTCTCTCTCCCC